GATGGGAGAAGAAAATGAGGGTAAATTGGTAATTAAAGATAAAAAATTTGGCCATGTCATTGGGTTTTGCCAGATGGATTTCACACGTCATTTAAGTAAAGAAAAAAAAATAAAATTTTTCGTTAATTAACATGCCACATCAGCCAAAATTTAATGGAAGGACTAAAAAGGGGTTGGATTTGTGAACAGTAAGGACCAAAAAATGGATTTTTTCGGTATAGGGACTAAAAAGGGGTTTTTTCCTATAGTAGAGGGACCAAAAAGGGTATTTAAAAAAAAAACTCAAAAGAAAACAAAAAAAATTCAAAAAAAAAGAAATAATTAGATAAATCAAATTGTCAATTAGTTTAAAGAGATGGTATATTTGTTTAAATATAAGGATCAAAAAATTAAAAAAAAATAAATTAAAAAAAACTGTGACTATATTCGACAATCATATTGGTTGTTGAATATAAGTATATTTGACAGTCATATTGGCTGTCGAATATAACCCCACCCCCTGCCTTCCCAACCAAAAAAAAAAATTTGAATTTCCCAGCAAAAAATTTTGAATTTCTCGACCAAAAAATAAATAAATTTAAAAAGAAAAAAAAACTATACTATATTCGACAGCCAATATGGCTGTCGAATATAGTCACAATTTTTTCTTTTAAAATTTATTTATTTTTTGGTCGGGAAATTCAAATTTTTTTCTGCGAAATTCAATTTTTTTTTTTTTTTTTTTTTTGCTGGGAAGGCAAGGGGCCAAAAAAGATTGAATTTCCCAATTACTTAAATTTTAAACATATTGGACAGAATCTCTGTCGAATATGTTTGACATATAAATACCACTCCGACATCAGAACATCTCATTGTCTTCTAATTTTCATCTTCTTGCCTCTTCCCTTCTCCTTCTCCTTCTCCTTTTTTCCACGGATAACATCTCTCTTTGAGCTTCTTCTCCTTGTATTTTCTTTTTTCTTTCTTCTTTTACATTCTCCTCTTTATATTTTCATAAATCACCTTTAATCATCTTCTTTCTTTTCACTCTTCTCTCTTTTTGGTTGAATTCTTATTATTTAAGATACTAATAGTTCTTTTTTTTTTTTTTTAGATTTTTATACATTGATTATGAAGTAATATGAGGTAAATTTTGTGATTTATACTTTTTATATTCTTTTCGTTTTGAAATTCTTATTACTTGATATTCATTTTTTTCTGTTATTTTTGGCAAGAATAGGAACTTAATTCAAAATAATTAAGGTTAATGCTCATTTTAATTTTATTTATGATTATTTATTACTTTTTATATTATTGTTAGAATTGTTTCGTAAATATATTGTTAGGGAACTTGATATTTATGTTTGTTTTATTGATTTTTTATATATATAAAATTAACAGAAAATAATATAAGATTAATTTTGGATTTTGTTGATTTTTCAATTTTTTTTTATTTTTCTGCCAAGTATATATTGTTGTCGAATATAATTTCAAAAAAAAAAAAACATATTTGACAACTATTAGCTGTCGATTATATATCTTTAATTGACAGTCAATGGCTGTCGAATATAACCTTCAAAAATTAAAAAATCTTTATCATCAATGAAATTATGTCGATAATGAGTATATTCGATAGCCAATATCTATCAATTAAATTAGTATATTTGACAGAAATTTTAACTGTCAAATATACTCATTATCGATTGCATTTTATACGACACATTTGGTTGTCGATTATGTTTGTCGATTAAGACATAATCAACAAAAATACCTCTATATTCGACAGAAAAGTCTGTCGAATATACCCTATTTTCCAATAGTGCATGACCCATTAGGTTCTCTTAACAGGTCATTAACAAGTTATGTGTCATAAATATCTGATCCTAACCCATGTTAAACAAGCAGGTAATGAATGAGTTAGCGAATTGGATAAAAAAATTACCAAGTCTAAGTTGAACTACTGAATCTACTCTACAATCGTCATAATATCCTTTAAAGATGCTACATCAAAATTATCTTTAATTTTTTCCCCCTTTCCCCAAAATTTTCCTTTAGTGGAATAAATTAAGGATTCATATTTCAAATTGACTCTTGCCAAAATGATTAAACAAAGAAAAAGATACTTAACTGGTCCTAAGAACATTCCCTAATTTTTTCATAATCAAACAGCAGCCATCACACGCCCACATGTCACACCCCCATGAAGGCTTTTTTTTTTTTTATCAGCCAAAGTGAAATTAAATTAAATGGGGTACAAGGGATACTCTGTTCATATTGTCCCATGAAAGCATATTACTTTCCACGTATTAATTCAAAGGATAATAATTAATAGATTTTTTAATTTTATACAATTTATAATATATTTATT